ATTTATTGTGGATCCATGTAAAATGAAATCTTTAACAACTTCAATATTTTCTCTGTTTTTCACGATGTTGCTTACTGGTCCAGCTGAGATGATTTTTGTTAAAATGTTAATTTTAACTCCCAGGGTAACAAATAAGAAACAGATACAATAATGAAGAACAGAGAAACAAACAACAAAAAAAGATATATAGTATACAGAAATCAAATAGCAAAATGGTACATTTAAATCCCAATTACATTAAATGTAGTAATCACATTAAATGTAAATTGGTTAAACATCTTAGTTGAAAGGCAGAGATTGGCAAAATGTATAAAACAGTAGGGATGGGGGGAACATTCCTAGCTAGGCTAGGGGGAAAAAAAAAAAAGAAAGAGAAGAAACCAGATTATTAGTGGTTACCAGTGGTACGAGGGCGGGGGAAAGGGGAAGCTTTTGTTTGCGGGGCATTGAGTTTGTGCTAATGGTGCTGAAGTGAACTACTTGGTATGGCTTTTCTAGCCATGGTCTTTAGGATTCCCACCAGATTACTGGGTGGGACCATGCAAATAAAGTGTATGGAACTCTAAGGTTGGGACTGGTTAGCTTTGTCATTCTGCCAGGCGTAAAATGAGCCTTCCTAGAGGTACAAATGGAAGGAAGATTGGGCAATCTACTTCTGTAGAGATGTTGTTGTTGTTATGTGCCATCAGGTCAGACCCAACTCATAGCGACTTTTCCTTAGGTTTCCAAGGTGGTATCACTATGGTAGTAGATTGCTCAACCTTCCATCTGAGGAGTGGCTGGTGGGTTTGAACCTCCAGCTTTCTGGTTAGAAGTCAAGTGCCTTAGGAACTACGTTACCAGAGCTCCCTCCGCAGAGAACCACCTTGGAAACCCAGGGAGGGGTTGCTATGAGTTGAGCTGAATTGACTCGATGGCAGTGAGAGTTAAGTGAGAAGTAGAAAGGGGGAACTCACTACCATCAAGAGAGAAGAGGTGGAGTTGGAGTGGACTGCATCCTTGGATCCAAGATCCCTGTGCTGGACCTCCTTGGCAGAGATACCCCAGCAGAGATGCCTGACTGAAAGATGGTGGCAGTGGAACCAAGAAGCACGAGACAGAGCTGGTGGGACTGCCTGGCTCACAGAGCGACAAAGCTGAGAGCCTCTGGCCAGGAGGCTTGTTGGCGGAGTGAGGTACATGTAGGTGTACCTATTAGCAGAGCTGTAAGAGCTTTGTAACACTTGCCTGAGCAGGGCAGATGTCAGGCTGAGAGGCCAAGAGCCAGGGAGACATGCAGAGGTAAGACTGTTCTGATCAAAGAATTATATCCTGAGCATGTTCTTGAACTTAAATGGTAGCCTGTTACTTCCCTAATAAACTCCATAATCTTGAGTATTGTCTGTTCTGTGTGGCCATTGCAACAAATTATCAAACCCAGCAGATAAGTATTGAGTACCATGGGAGGGACAGTTGATGTCTGAACTGGGAAAAAGACTGGAGGGTGGTAGCATGTCTGGCCTCATGGGAATAAGTCTTGGGCTGTTGATGGTGACTCTTTTCCCCTTTGTGAGGTTGGAGGGGGTCAGAAGATGCTGCCTCTATGGCCTTTTTGCAAATATTTTGGAAAAGGATAGCAATAATAGTAGTATAGCATGAAAAATATCATTGAAGTCCCTGAGCTGTAAATGTGGAAGTTGTTATGTTACTGAATGTCTTATTGTGCATGTTTTCACCACAATAAAGGTGAAAAAATAAAAAAGTATAAAAGAATGGAAAAGGATATATACCATGCAAATAGTGATCAAAGAGAACTAGAGTGGCTATACTAATATCAGAAAAATAGACTTTAAGACAAAAATTGTTACTAGAAACAAAGGAAGGCATTTTATCAGAACAAAATATTTAATCAAGAAGATATAACAATTATAAATTATATATACATCTCCCAAACGACAGAGTACCAAAATATACAAAGCAAAACTGACAGAATTGAAGGGAGAAATAGACAATTCAAAAATAATAGCGAGAGATATCAATATCTACCTTTCAATGTAAGATAAAACAAATAGACAGTTGACCAACAAGGAAAAAGAATACTTAAACAACACTATAAACCAACCATACCCAATAGAAATCTATAGAACATCTTTCCAGTAACAGTTGAAGACACATTCTCCTTATGTGCACAAGGAATATTCTCCAGGATAGACTGTACCTTGGGAGCTCTGGTGGCCTAGTGCCTAAGGCATTTGACTGCTAATCAGACGGCTGGTGGTTGAAACCCACCAGCCACTCCTTGGAAGGAAAGTTGGGCAATCTACTTCCGTCATGATACCACCTCGGAAACCCAAGGAGGGCTCACTATCAGTCTGACCTGAGTCGATGGCAGTTGAGTTTTTTTTTTGTTTTTTTTTTGGTTTAGACTATATCATAGACCATAAAACAACACTCAATAAATGAAAGAAAACAAAACAATACAAAGTGTATGTTCTTACCATAATGGAATGAAATTGGAAATCAGTAACATATTAATTTAGGAAACTCACAAATATGAAACAATACACTTTTAAATAACCAATGGGTCAAAGAAAAAAAATCACAAGTGAAATTAGGAAATACTTGAATGAAAACAAAACAAACATATAAAGAAAATTATGGGATGTAGTGATAGCTGTGCTTGTAAGGAAATTTATAGCAAAGCAATTACATTACAAAAGAAAGATTTCAAATTAATAACCTAAACTTTCACCTTAAGGAATTAGAAAAAGAGTAAACTAAACCAAAAGCAAGCAAAGAAGGAACAAAGATTATAGTGGAAATAAATAAAATAGAAAAACATTAGAGAATCATCCCCAAAATTTGTTATTAGAAAAGATTAACAAAATTGACAATTAATATGTAAAAATAAAAGGGCTATAAAGGATAAAATAAAAAAGCTATAAAGTTTATAGCTATAAACTATAAATAATTACATACAAGAAACATTAGATAATCTAAGCTAACTGAAAGGAGCTCTCGTGGTGTAGTGGGTAAGGTATTAGGCCGCTAGCCAGAAGGTCTGTGGTTCAAGTCTAACAGCTGCTCCAGTGGAAGATGAGGCAATCTACTTCTGTGAAGATTCACAGCCTTGGAAACACAATGGGATTGCTGTGAGTCGAATGGACTTGATGGCAGTGAGTTTGTTTTTTTTTTAAGCTAAGTGAGAACAGGAACAGGTTGTTCTCTGGTCTTGCCATGACAACCACTACATTCTTCCCCTAGAGCATTGCAGTGTAGTAAATTACACAGTGTGGCTTTTCTAGCCATAAGTCTTTGTAAACTCGGTGGTGGAATTTGCTGTAAGCAACTGAGTAGTTCCTGATTGTTAAAATTATCCACCTGGAGTATTTCTGTTGGGAGCAGCACAAAGTAATTTTCTGGGAAGTTCGTTCTCTCTCAGGTGTATAGAATTCTGATGTTGGGATTGATTAGTTTAGCTATCTGCCAGGCTCAAAAGGAGCTCTGCTAGAGGCAGAAGGAATCTCTCTGACTGCTGCCTAAGAAAGATGTGCTGCTGAGAGAAATGTGCTCCTGAGAGATATGAGAGACACAATGCTGAGAGAGACGCAAGAGACACACACTACTGTGAGAGTGATGTGCTACTGAAACTGCCAGCTGCTGAGTGAGATGGCCAGCTGCAAGAGACTGAGTGTATTTCTGAACTTGAATTGTAGTCTGGTGCTTCCCTAATAAACCCCATAATCTGTAAGTTCTCTGTGGCCACTGCAGTGAATTATCGAACCCAGCAGAGAGGTGATGGGTGCTGTGGGAGGAACGGTTGGTGAAAGGGCTGGAGGGAGGCAGCATGCCTGGTCTCACAGGAACAGGCCTTGGGCTACTACTGACAGTGATTCTGTCTTCCTCTTGAAGGGTTAGAGGAGGTCAGAAGATGTGGCTTCCTTGCTCCTTTGGAAGCATCTTCCAAATTATAGGTTGTAATGTGCCCCTGTTGTCTGTCCGGGTCTATTGTACATTAGATGAAAAATAAATTTACTAGAAATCTCACCGAAGATCCAGACCAGCTTCTTTCCAGAGTAAATCCATCAAGCGCAGCATTTGAAGTGTCAACATATCCTGTCGTAAATCTAAGAGAAAAAAAATGTTTTGATATAAATGCTTTCCATTTTATCCCTAATACTGCATTAACTCAAATTTTGCTTAAATTAGCCTGGATTAACTAAAACCATTGACAAATACTTTATAAATTTTTTTCAATATTTTAACATTTATTATAATCACCATAATCAAATATTAGGCTGGTGGGTTGGCATGCCCTTGTAACAGTATTTCAAAAAGTAAGTAAAAAAAAAAAAAAAATTATTTCTTACCATGTGTAGCTACTGAAAACTAGAAAAACTCACTGCTGTTGAGTTGATTTCAACCGATAGCGATCCTACAGCTACTGCAGCTGGTGTAATATTATTTGTATTACAGTACCCATTATTCATATTGCTAATTATTTCTTCCTTTGCTTTTAAGGATATATAAAAAGTTCTTAAGAATTATATGAAGTCATTGCATCATAGTTCAAAAACCACATGTAATAATTGATTTTATTTATCATCATCATTTCGAAGAGTAATTTCCCGGTAACAGAAGTGTGAAAGTAGTGGCATACATGTAATGACATTTGTATGGTCAAGTGATTAATTATCTAGCAGTCTAGCAAAACACTTTAATTTTTTTTTTTAAGAAGATATAATACACACTACTTAAGCACATTTACTTATGCTATCTTACTTAATTCCTTTTAATAACTGTACTATGGAATCTGGCTCTGTAAAAGCCTTAGTACTTACCATCACCATTTTTAAAAATTACTCCAACTGAATCCTCACCAAATACCTTATTGTTGTACACCAGCCACAAAGGTTTCATCTTGGAATCCATGTATTTGCACTTTTCAACACTGAAATCAAACAAGGAGAAAGTTAGTTGACTTCAATTTAAATATATGGCAAAATTGTCATTTTACCCTGCGATACTAGGCTTGGGAAAAACCCTTAATTGTTCCTATAAAGTCTCCAAGAAGTCAAAGCTAGACCCTTTGTTCCTGGTAGAAAGTAACTATGGTTGACATGCACTGAAGCCAGATGGGCAGGACCAAAAACCCCGAATCCGTCCTTCTCATTACTTTCACTAAAAATTCCTCCTCTCTTTATGCTTCTTTAACTTTGTATTATTATATTTAGTGAATTAAAAAAAAATCTGAACGTATAAGTTGATTAGTATTTTGAGATCAATCTTGATTTCTTAGAGAGAAAATGTGAAAACTAGTATTATGAGAATGCACATTATTACTTCCGTAGGGAATGAGAAAGTGAGAAATAAGTTTGCTGTAAATTTATTTGAGATCTCATTTTCAAATAGGAAAATCAACTACTAAATAATTTAATATGGTTTTCAACATTATGCTTTTTTGTGATCTCTACACTCTAGGAAACCAATAATATAGAAAATTTAATTATACACAATTAAAAGGAAATTAACTGCAGAGGTAAATTAACCTGGTAGGGATGCACTCTACTGAACACAAGCACAGTCTTTGAGGTCTTTAAGATTTTCCCTCTTATGTTACACTTAATGGGGCTGACAGGTGGCCCTACTGCTCCAGAAGATAGTGAATTGGAAGTCCTTTCTGCATCACTGTTTTCATGAGAGATTCACTGAGCACAGCAGAGACACTTACTAGAGTTCTGAGAGGATGACACATGGGTTCAGAGGTGACTGCAGGTCTGAGAGGGCTTCTCGGTAAGCATTCTGTTTTAAACAGGTGTGCATGGCCTCTTTCCCTTTGGCTCTATTTAGCTTCATCGCATTCAGTTTGATTAAACTATTTAAAGTTTTTAACTTATTAAGTGCTTCAACCTGAAAAACAAGTTTCCCCAACCCCAAAATTAATTTGTTGTTAAAAATAATATAAAGTAATATAGTGTCATGTGATAATATTAAGCAATAACCACCCTCCTCCAATATAAGCAGGCGGACACAAACACACAATCTAGCTAAAATAAAACAGTTCTTTGGTGGATGGCAACCATTTTACATACAGTATAAAAAACTTATTTTTTATCATTTGTGGCTCACAACACTATTTTTCAGACTTTAACCCTTTTCTTAAATGAAATCTTATATATGACAGAAAAGGAAACAGAGATTGTAGATATTTAAGAAATATGCTGCAAACTTCTCAGAACTCTGTAGCTTACTCAGTAACAGAATTTGCAAAATGGTAATCTAAACCATTCTATTAGACTTTCTCTGTAAGAAGGAAAGCTATGTAGAGGTAATCTGAGGGATCCCAACATTCAACCTGACCACTTCTTGTCATCACACTTGTATGCCATCTTCTCAGTATATTCTCCTCCCATTCATAGCAATTGTAACTGATTGCTGTATAATAAAATAAAATAAATGTGAATACATACAAAGTATGTGTTGTCAAAGTCTAAATTACTACTTGTTCACTTCTGAAGATCCTATTTTTAAAATGAGTTAACTTCAGTTATCTACACTGATGAGGGAAAATATGAAAGCCAAAAATGTATATAAATAGTACAAGGTTAATCAACAATGACCAACTGAATCAAAACCATTATGTTTTGACTTATTATTTGACTTTCCATGTCGTATTATAGGAGCTCTGGTAGCATAGTGCCTAAGGCACTTGACTGCCAACCAGAAGGCTGGCAGTTCAAACCCACCAGCCACTCCTCAGAAGGAAGGTTGGGCAA